AAGAAGCTGTAAACCTGCAACAAAAAAGTGCATGACTAAGGGCAGCAGAAGGGCCTCGGAGTCTGAATTGAGCATCCTCTTCTGCAGGCAAGCACAAGGAGAAGAACGTTTCTGTTCCACTGAAAATAATCTACAGCAGTTTTTTCCTAATATAGGCAGAGTGGTCATGGCCCTTTTCCTTTTAACTACCTTATAACAAGCTATAAGCTACTCTGAAGAGAGCTAACATCCATCTGTCTTGTAAAAGTAGTATTCCTGAAAAGGAAATCCAGTGCCATGGTTCCTGTTGTAAGTGCTCTTTATACACCTTATTCATGGCTTCTAATTAAAAAAAAAAAAACAAAACAAAACAAAAAAAAAACCACAAAAAACCCACAAAAAAATTATGGGAGAAAGATCTAGGAAAAAAGGTTTCAAAAAGGCTTGCATTTTTTAGCTAAGTTCCCATCCCACTGTGCTGTTCCCATCCCACTGTTAGATCATGCCTACATGCAGGTTCCTGGCCCCTACCATTTATACTGGCCAAAGCAGGTGGTTATTCTTAGACAGCACAGCAGTTTTGGTTTGTTTTTTTTGTTTTTGTTTTTTTTTTTTTTTAATGGAAACACACACTGATTTTTAGATTTCCTTGGGAGGTTAGATGGTGTGTAAATAAACTGAACCATCCCCCGAGACTTGTGAGCAGCAGCCTTCTAAGTTGAGCCTTAAGCAGGAATTGGAGCATCTGAATTACTGCTTTAGCCAAGACCAGGAGTACACTTTTGAAGTGACCCTCCTGCTCACCCACACTTACTGCACTTTGGCTAACATTGCAGAGCAGTCCTGGAGCGCACGAACCAGGCTCCTTCCCGGTGTCACAAACCTGGATTACATGTTCCAGGACAACAGGTAAGGCTCTGCAACTGCTCCTGGGCATTCAGACCTTGAAGACCTAATGTAAATCAGTGTTCAAAGAAATAACACCATTTTACATCATTGTGCAATGACTTTTAGAAAGGTAGAGTGTGAATCAAATGTTATCTGAAACATACCTAGCTTTCAAAAATAACTTAGTCGCTAGAGGGAGCCTCTTAATCATCATATTCTAGTATCAAACACCACTAACTTGGGCCTTCAACTCTTAGATGTTGAAGTACTTTAATAGGGTCAGTGAGTGCTACTTCCTCCAGTACTCAGTTTAAAGAAAATCATAGTAAAAGACAACAGTATGCAAGGCTTCTGCAAAATTCCACATCAATTCCACATTAATTCCACATTCTGAACAAATACATTCTTTCTAAAGATTTCCCCATATAGATAAACAGGTAGAGATAGTTAGTGCAGTGGCTGGGAACAGAATTAGACTAGACCTTTTAAAAATACCATCTTTATGTGGCACCAGTGAGAGGGCATTCACCTTTCCCTCCTTAAAAGATCAGACAACAAAATAAGCACATGTTGTCACTGTGAGAGGAAAGTCTGTAGACCACAAGCGTTACTATCCTTCCTTTATCATCATTACCTCATAGCTGTGTCCAGGTGATAATTCCCAGCAGACAGATTTCAAGGAGTGCTACTTGCAGCAGTGGTCTGGTCTAGCTGTCTCTGTGTTAGAAGAAGGCTACATACAAAACAAGGAAGACATGCTCCTGCAGACATGCATTAAATTTTCTGCTATACTCTACATTTAGTAAATAACATTGCAGTTTCAGTTTGTGGTTCTCCATTACAAATACTATAGAATTTGCAAGAAGTCTTGGAAAAACACAAGGAGAATAGGAGAGCTGTGGAGGAGATTCCAGCTCCAAAGGGGGTTTTCCCTTTCAGCAGGGCCCAGCTGGAATTGATTGCAACCTGGATGGAAAAAACAGCACTTCAGAAGGTGCTTTCTTCTTAGAAAATACGCAGCAGCAGAAGGCATCAGACAACAAGAAATCTTACATATGTTAATGAATCCTGAAAAACTAAAGGCACAGTGTAGGGGAATGGGAACTGGAAAAGCACAGACTGAGATGCTATAACATGGGTGGAGATAAGGAAGCAGGCACTGAGAGAGGGAAAACCAGGCAGGTCAATTCTGTGTGTGTTTGCTCCAGTATGGAAATACTGGGGTGGGAGAGAGCAGGGGAGGGATCACCTGTGGTGCTGTAATCTGCCTCAGATTAGCAAACCAACCTGAGCTCCACTAGCAAACCAACCTGAGCACTGCAACTGGTGATGAACCCCCAACTCATAACATCTCCCTTCTCTTTTAAGATATGAAAACACAGAAAATTCTGACAGTGAAGCAAGATTGCTGTTTGATAGTACCTCATGCTCTCCCAAAACACTTGGTCCAACAGGACTTAAACAAGAAAAATGAAGAAAGAAAGGATTAGCCAGCATGTAACCTTAATTAGTCCTTTTGAGTGATGACTAGGAAACAGGCAGCACTCAGAAGTGAAGCTGACTCATTTTCTGCAGAAGCAAATTCAGGTCTCTTGCCGGCATTTCCTCTCCACACCCTAAAACTATTTCTCCCTGTGTGTGCAGAGATGACCTTGTCATTGCTGCAGGCACTCAGGGTTGCCATAAAGTGGAAACTTTCACTCGATTTCATTTCTACAGACAAAGAATTGCTGCTTTGTAAGTACAGCAATTTTCTGTTTTCCTTGGTGGAAATGAAGAGAGGTTTATGGGAAACTGCTATTTATAGTGGTTTTCATTGGAGTGTCTCAGAATTCAAGGAGGTCCTTCCCTTCCCTTGAGAAACTGTTGCTTGTGCAGAAAGCATTTTAGCTACATTTCTGGTGTTCCCCAGCCCGACCCTCACACGTGTATGAATGTCGTCATTGTGCAAACAGCAGTGGGACGTGCAGCTTAAGGGACTCTGGGGTAAGTCAGACCATCCGGCTGCTTGTGAGCTCGGGTACAACGCGGCTTTCCTGTGGTGAAGTGCGCATGAGCAGCTAGGACAGATTTAAGGAGTGCCTGCAGAAACAGATGTTAGATGCTGTGCTGTAGCAGCAGTCATTGTGCTGAAAAACTTGGAATGGTCTTAAGTCAACGGAAAATAAGTTCACACTCCAGTCTATCAGCTGCCTGCTTTGAGCATAACTTGACCAGGTATCGTATTCCTCCCTTACTATGTTGGGAAATGCACAGGAAAATTTTAATGGGCATTTGGATTTTTTTTTTTTCTTCTGTAGATAAAAATATCTTGAGGAAGTTTTTAATCGGCATTTCCCTTTACAACAACATTATTCTCACACATGTCTGTGTACAAAGTGAGAATAGTCAGCTGCAGGCAACTTGTTATCATGAGTCTGTATTTTACTGTATCTGTATCAACTCTAAAAAACAGGAATTTTCAGAAGACATTTTCACAGACTGAACAGCACCAAATTGAATAGAATTACCTGCAAGACCTCTCACTGAGTGTTGCCAAACTGATGTCACAAATGGGTGTTGGTTTTGTGAAATGTGCATCTGAGTGTATCTACTATTTTCTCTTATGCAAACTGGCTTGAACTGGGATTTCAGTACCTTGTGAGTATTTTGATAGAAAACTAAAGACATACTACAAAAGTTCAATAGGTAAAGGATAACAGTAAAATATGAAAAATATGCAAGTTATACCCTCCTGGATTATTAAAATGGATAAAGAAAGGGATAAAATCTAAATTATTTTGGGAGGGTTAAATAAAGGGAGAGGGGGGAGTTTCACTTTAGGCCAAATTCAATTCAGATAGCAAAGTGGACAGTTTGCTTGCAGCATGGCAAAAGTCTCCAAAAAGGCACCCTCCAAACTGCTGGTGGCTGAACCAGGTGGGTGCTTGCTGCTGCCACAGCTGCTGGGGGCTGCACAAGGAGCTGCACTGCAGCGTGGGGACTTGGGGTCCTTGGCTTCTCCCAAAGGGGAGGAGGAACAGGGTAACCTGCTCTCACTATCCCTCTTGTTCCCACCTGAGCTGCTAAAGTTTCTCTGACCTGACTCCTTTTGCCTCTCACTAAGGAAATGGCTTGACAGGGATAATATCAGTCTGTGCAGTAACTGTTTTCTGTATATTACTTGCTATTTTACAGGCAGCTTCTGAGGAAACTCAGCCTTGAGCTCCAGGCTGTGCTTTGAAGCAATGTATCTCTACTGTGAAGTACAGGCAGTTAGTGACAACCAATTACACAATTAAATTTGAATATTTCCAACTGCCATTTATGTCAACTGTTTTGTAGGCACATCTTATGTAGATGTTAAAGATGGCTGAGGTGTCCTCCAGTATCTTTCCCATACCTACTTAGGATGCAGCAAAGGCACAAATCCAACTGCAAGAAACCAAGGCTGAGTGTCTGTAGATAGTGATGCTGCATCAGCATTGATGCTTGTAAATAAGTGTTTAGAGCTGTTTGGATGCCAGTTTCCTAAGCACAGAAATTTGAATTTTCCCACTGTGGCCTGTACTGTTGATGAATAATACATAAGAATGATGGTTATTAACTAAGCTGCTAAATACTATCATTTCTGGAAAATAAAATGTGAAACCAACATAATTTATAAAATTGAGACGCTTGGGACAGTTCAGCCAGACATGGGATAAATTTGAAAGGAGTGTATTTTAAAGCCTTTGAACCAAGGTCATTCGGCCCTCACTTCAAAGCCTTTAAACAGTTTGTCTTCTCCTGGCAGTGAAAGAGAAAGCTCCAGAGGAACCTTTGCAGAAAGCTGTGCAGAGAGGGGGGAGAGAGCATCACACTCTGAAATCTGACACATATGAAGAAGGAAAAGGCTCCCCTCAGAGTCAAACAACAGGAGGTCACAAATTAAGTGTCTTCCAAGGAAATGTCATAGTTGGAAGAGGATGAATAGAATTTCTACGACTAAGGATATCTCTTACGAGCCTGAAAGGAAACTTGGCACACTGAGAAGAAGCAGCAGGCTGCTACTGCCTCTGTGATTACAGAAAAATAAATGATATTGAGGACTGTGCCTTTGTGGCCAGGAAGGCCAATGGCATCCTGGGGTGCATTAGAAGGGGTGTTGTTAGTAGGTCAAGAGAGGTTCTCCTCCCCCTCTACTCTGCCCTGGTGAGGCCACATCTGGAGTATTGTGTCCAGTTCTGGGCCCCACAGTTCAAGAAGGACAGGGAACTGCTTGAGAGAGTCCAGCACAGAGCCACCAAGATGGTTAAGGGAGTGGAACATCTCCCTTCTGAGGAAAGGCTGAGGGAGCTGGGTCTCTTTAGCTTGGAGAAGAGGAGGCTGAGGGGAAACCTCATTAATGTTTATAAATATGTAAAGGGCGAATGTCAGGAGGATGGAGCCAGGCTCTTCTTAGTGATGTCCAATGGTAGGAGAAAGGGCAATGGTTGCAAAGTGGAGCACAGGAGGTTCCACTTAAACTTGAGAAGAAACTTCTTTACGGTGAGGGTAACAGAGCACTGGAACAGGCTGCCCAGGGAGGTTGTGGAGTCTCCTTCTCTGGAGACATTCAAGACCCGCCTGGACGCCTTCCTGTGTAATTTTGTTTAGGTTCCTGCTCTGGCAGAGGGATTGGACTAGATGATCTTTCGAGGTCCCTTCCAATCCCCAACATTCTGTGATTCTGTGACTGGATTTTAAAAATCTCTTCTCTTCCACTCTGAACAGTAGGTATTTTTCATACAGCTGGGTCATGTAAAAAAAGAAAACTATTTTGCTGTTTTAAGATTAACTTCTCTACACAAAAAGAAAAACTCTTCTAAGAAGAAAAGAAGTGCTAGCAATAACATTAATGCCTGTACTCTTCTTCATTTTGGATATGATCTGAGGTGCACTGAAGTAAATAAAACAGGGACAATGTTGATAGGCTTTGATTAAGTTTTTAATCTGTTTTTATTGCAATAACTGCTGGGAAGATGCAAACATGACAAAGGTCTCTTTCTTGGTTTTGCAGGATCTGAGCGCCCCAAATGCAGAAATGATTTGGCAACTAACATCTTATTGGTAAGAAAAAAAGTAATTAATTATTGTTATATCATACTTAGATCTAAAGTGAGCAAAGTTTCATAATGACATAATACTGTATTATAAAAGCGTAGGATTGTTTATCTATACAGTATACTCACAATGTGATTTTGGGGTTTTTTTTTATTTTTCTTGTTCTTAACTTTCTCACAACACAAAGGTCCCAGTCTGGGTGAGAAGGATGTTAGAGGAAGTTGATCACATTCTCAGTTTCCCAGACCAACTTCTAAAAAACTTTCCAAGCCACTAAAGCAAAATAACTTACACGTCATCTGTCACATGTAAATTCCCAAGTGAGGAAGTTTGGGAACAACCAGAAAAGGACATTTTAAACTTATTGTCCTGACATTTTCCTTTTCATGACATCTGTTTGGGTCAATGATCAAAATTTAACACACCCTCTACATGTGGGCAGAGAGTGGTCTGTTTTCCAGCCAGACTCACACAGGAGGGTCTTCAGCCGCTTGCAGTAGGAATGAAGAACGGCCAGGTCATTCAGGCTTCTCTCCTTCTTTCTGTGTTTCAGGACATCCCTGGTCACAACCCTGATTTTTGTTCTGCTTCTGCAGCCACCGCTGACCCAGCTTTCCATCATCACACAGCCAAACATTGTCCTGTTGATGGCTGATGACCTCGGCATAGGGGATGTAGGTTGCTATGGGAATGATACTATCAGGTAAGGAAACTGAGCCTAACAGCAAACAGAGTTGGTGTGTTATTTAATGTAAGACTGCAAGCCTCTGCCCATCATCAGCTATTCAAGCTCTCTTCAAGTTCATTTCCGGTAGAAACAGGAGGGTTTCCCATGGGTGCTGTTAGCAGTAAATGTAGAGCACTACCAGGAACATCCCACAGCTTCGAGAACATTCCCAGGGCCACCTCTGCTGTCCAGAGCTGCTTTCCTGTGGGAATATAACAGCCATTCTTGTGGACTCCTTAATTGCCTGACACTGAGAAATGCTAAGCTCTTGAAGACAGAAATGTTGTCCCATCTTTCAACATATCAAGCCTCATTACCTCAATTAACTCTATTTTGCCACTCTTTCACAGTCTTACATCAAAATATAGTATAAATCACTGCAATGAGCTTTGTTATTAGGAAATACTTCTCTTCAGACCCAAGGACATAGGATTTGCGTTCTCTTTGAAAATTGTGCCACAGTATTGCCTGCTGGCTTCCTACGCAGCTTGTCACTTCTTTGAATAAAACCAAACTTGGCATGAGCACTCCCCTCATCCAGCAAAGTTCTCATAATCTCACCCTGATCGGCACTGGCTTACAAGTTTATGATAGGTGGATGATGACCACAGGTAGCTGATGGGGCTCTGCATGGCTGGGCCTCCACTTCAGCATAGCATCATCCCCAGGGCATGAATTGTATTCTCAAGAGCAGTAGGGTACATTTCTGCAAGGCCCTTCATAGGATTTGGGAAACAAGAAGGAGTGATTGGCTTGAAATCCAGACAGTGATCAATAAGAAAGAAAGAAAGACAAAAAGTATTTTGCCAACACTTGAGAAAATTAAAATAAAATAAAATAAAATAATATTTCCTGGTCATCTTCAAATAGAAGGAACTTCCCAAAATAAAGATAAGTATATTATTCCTTATCCCCATTCCCCTGAAGACCTTCTGATTGATATCTGACAGCGTTGATTGCATTTTTAGGACCCCGAACATTGATCGCCTGGCAAAGGAAGGAGTGAAACTTACCCAACACATCGCTGCGGCTCCACTTTGCACTCCCAGCAGAGCAGCATTCCTCACTGGAAGATATCCCCTTCGATCAGGTTTTCCTTCCAAAACCAAGCAGCCTTTAAACATTGTTTTATTTCTGAAAAGAACAATGTCACACCATGGGCACAAAAGAAAGAGGGTGTGCAAACAGAAGGGGTGCCACAAATGTCATCACTCATTGAGGTACACAAAGGCACACCAGCTAAGTCTAGGACCTTTGAGGTGGCATCTAGATTTAGGGGATACAATGAAGTGACCTTGGGCAGAGAAGAACCAGTTCTGCAGAGCAACTTGCTCTCCCCCAGGTCACAGCTTTGCTTGCATTTTGGTGCTCTATTGCACAGATCATGGCCAGAATGGAGTTAGTACAAATTGTTACATTCAAAAAAGTCATTACACAGAACAAGAATTCATGGATGGCTCGTCATCTAATATCAGAAACAGCTCAGCCCTGCAGGGAGCAGAGTAAATCTATGCAGATATGGGTCCATTCCCCCCAGTTGAGGTGCAGAACAAGTCATTTACAGGAAAGCTTTGTTATCCGTGTGTCAAAATTCATCCATCCTATGAAATAACAGTTTGACAGCTATGCTATTTTTATCAGTTCTGTTTTTGAAGAAAAATACTATCCTGTCAAACTGCATCCCTGGGATGAAGAGGTATGAAAAACAAATAGCTCTACATGTCTCTAACAGCAACTCAGTCATGCTTGTTCTATTGCAAATGATCTTCATTCCTGAGGCATTTTGAAGCTGACACACCATCCTACTTTTATCATGACAGCTCCTACAGACATAGATAGCTTGAAAATGCACATGAGCTTGTACAGACTCTCTACCACTAAAACAACAGAGACAGAGACGTTCAGCACTTCCATGACAGATTGTACTTCACATAACATTGTATGATGGAGTTATGCCAACATATAATGCTAAATAACAAGGTGTAAACCTGAAGGTAAGGAGAAAATTGTGGTGCTAGATAGCTACTCTGTGAATTTCAGAAGTCAGACGCCAGCCGCGCCACTGTACAGGGAAATCTTGAGTTCTCAGGTAGCCTTATGCAAGCTGGAGTTTGAGGCTGACAGAGGGCTCAATTGTCCCTACCCTCCTCCCTGCCCTCACAGTCACACTTAAGTAAGTGCATTTCATATAGCCTGGATGCCACTGTGACATATAAAAGCTCCTATACAACTGTGCCATTCTGAATAAAATAAAATAAAATGTCTCAGTACAAGATACAATGAATAATAGTATTATAAAATGGAGAGATAACTCTGTTAATCTTGTCCAGAGTTCTAGATTCTTTTCCCCAAACAAACAGTATTAGGATAAACATTTAACACTATCATATCAATGAAACCAGGAAACAAGAAAACATGTTTGATAAAAGCACTCTACCAGTTATACTTACTAAGATTGTTTACTACTGTATTTTTTTAGGCATGGACGCTATAAACAATTACCGTGTTATTTTTTGGAATGGCGGCTCAGGAGGGCTTCCACCAAACGAAACCACTTTTGCCAAAATACTGCAGCAACAAGGCTACAGCACAGGACTCATAGGTATGGGGACACTCCTCAAGATGGCCTAGATTGTGTTTCACCTGCATGACTCACTCAAATCATTTGTTTTAGTTAGCAATTGCTCATATCTCAGTTGTAATATTTTTATTTCCTGATTTAAGAATATCTTGTATGAAGAAATCCTGACCAAAAAGAACCTCTCTTAAAAGAACAGGCATCTGATAAAGAGAATAATCTTTACTGTCAATCTGTTTTCAAGCACAGCTGCAGTTGTTAAAATATATAATGGAAAAGATGTTAATATTTCTTGAGTACTATTCTACCAGGTATATGACAATTATTCCAACGCTATTTCATAAAAAACTAAAATGAGTGCCATTTAAATATGCATGGCAATGCTTTACACAGCTCAGAGCAGATCAACAACAAAAGGAAACAGTTGCTACTTAAAACAATAGAGTCAGTTCATAACATCACGACATTTGGCCTTCCAAAACCAGAAACAAAGCAATTATTATTTATTTCATTACTGTGTTGCACTATAGTTCACCAAGATTTCAGTATAGCCCACAAAACATTGCCTCCTTCAGTATTAATATGAATTACATTTTACTTTATAGGTCCTTTTTTTTTAATACAGTTGTAACTTTTGGTCATGATCCAGTTTCAAATAATCATTTATCTTAGATACGTCACACAGTTCCATAGACTTTTTTATCCCAGATAAAAAACAACTATGCTCCTGATCTGAATTTTCTGCTAGTTGCCTTACCTCATCTAAGCATCTAAATGTCAATATCCAAAATCTATTTGTGAGACATAAAATTATTAGCTGCACAAATAAACTGAATTTACTAATAAAAATGTCTGCAGGAATGGATATGTATTCATTCAGTAGAATAAATCTAAACTATACAGGACAATACGAAGCAAAGCCCTCCAAGCATTTTAAGTTCTATATTACTAAATCTTATTTTCCTGTTAGTTTTGTAGTGATATTATTTTAGTTGTTTTGGTCAGCTCATAAAAAAGCCCGTGTCTCTTAGTCACGTGCTTCAGCTTGGTTTCAGCATGTGATCACTAACAAAACAATCAGATTTGTCTCCCTTTGCCAAAGGAATTGCCCTGCAGGGAGATTGTGCTGCATACCTCCTAGAAGCTCGCTAGCAATATGGGCTGGCATTTCCCCTGTGGGCACCTCAGCTAAAATCACACTATAGACACCAAAAGCATCACACAGTTTAACTGGATTGAGAGATTCCGATTAATTGCACCATAGAGGAAGATGGAAAGCACTGGTGATAAGTGACAAAAAAAAACCCATAAGAACAACTTTACATTCAAGTCATGAATCAAGAAATCTTACACAAAATCTACCCACATCACCACAGCTGAATGAGCACTAGTCTCATCCGAATGGTCTGTGACTGTTTTGCTCTGAGCACAACCAGTTTAATTGCAAAGTTAAATCCTACTAATAACCTGCAGCTTGATGCCATAGTGAGATGGGAAATGTTTTGCAGATTCTTTGTAGTCAGAAAGCTAATGTTGTATAACATATGCCCTCAAAGATTAATTTATCTTAATTATAGACTTAGTTTACCTTCTGGAGATTTAAGTCTTGAGGTATCCAAGGCCTGCATTACATAAAATGCAATTAAACTGCATCTCTGAAGAGAGGTAGATTTTGGTCACTTGATTCAGATATTCACAAGCCTCAGTGCTTGATCCAAATTATACAAATTCTTATGTCTCCGTGTAAGTGCCTAGACAATCTGTTTGAATAGACTGGATGGGAAGCAAACGCATGGTTTTGATGTGCCATTCATCATAACAATGGATATACGTTCATAATAAAGAATAAATTGTATTGCAAAAGGTCAGGAGATGTTCCTTTTGATACATGAAGACTGCCATATTTAAAAGAAGGCAGCTGTAACTTTTTAAAATTTGATGAAATACAAATAAATGGCAAACATATTTATAAAACAAAGCCTTTTATTCTCATCCAATATACAGAGATATTATTATCAGCAAAGTTTCTTACATATGTATAGCTTCACGAGAAATGCTTTATCTCCTGAGCTTATGCTCTTCTGGATCTGGTGGCTTGTCTGGCAAACCCACTGCTGAGCTTACAGTTACTTGACTACACTTCCCATAGCTTCGCTTACCAGTCTGGCACCCACACGTCACTGAGTGTTGCCATAGTCCTGGCATCAAGCCATTCAAAACCTTCCAGAAACAAATCTGCATAACACCTTGAAGGTAAAGAGACAACAGAAATATTTTATTTTGCCCTGTGCTTACTAAAGAACTTCTTCCTCCTATTTCAAACCTGACAGGTCTCCAGGAAGGCCACACATTTTTGCTCGGTTCTGAAAATCTGAATTTTAGTCAATTTCTAGTTCCCTTTATAGTCCAGTTTTTTACATTTGATCAAAGCTACAGGACATGAATGTGCGTACAGACCACAAATAACTGTTGAAAATTTGTAATTTATAGAGGTTTACTTTCATCAGTCGTAAGATATATCCCATTATATCAGTACATACTTGTTACAATATGTAGGGTAAAGAAGTTACCACAAGTAGGAAAAATCCCAACCATTTTTCAATAAATGTTTCATATGAGGAAAAGCCCATTTTTAAATATCGTCATTTTAAATTTTCATAATCTGCATTTTCAGGGAAGTGGCATCAAGGTGTTAACTGTGAATCCCGAAATGACCATTGTCACCACCCTTTAAAACACGGGTTTGACTACTTCTATGGAATGCCTTTTACGCTAATAAGTGACTGCCAACCAACAGAAACGCCAGAGATGGACAGAGTCTTTAGAAGGAAACTCTGGCTCTACACTCAGATGATTTGGCTCGTTACACTCACCGCTGCCCTAGGAAGACTGACTGGCTTGATTTCAGTCCGCTGGAAAACACTGACCTGCCTTGCTGGCTTTAGTCTCCTGTTCTTCATATCCTGGTTCTCAAGTTACGGGTTTGTACGATACTGGAACTGCATTATGATGAGAAACTATGAAGTTACTGAGCAGCCAATGGTGACAGACAGGACTACATCCCTTATCTTGAGAGAGTCCATTTCATTCATTGAAAGGTAAAGTGTGTTTCCTTTGATCACAATTTTTCTGGTTCTTGCATGTCTCGCAACTTTTAAAAAGCACTTTCCCATGTGAAGTTTTAAAAATTTTTATATTATATAGGGTTATAAGTACTATTATGCCTATTAATTATTAATAATATTCATATTGATATAAAGTTATTAAACAAAAAAATTAGCTGCTGCTTAAGGATTTCTGTTACTCCTAGCTTCACTAAAGCTGACAACACTTCCAAATTTCTGTGGGTTGGATTGACTATTTCTAGGCTGTATTGAGGAAATACGTGTTTCTATCAATGAGACCAATATTGCAACCTTAAGAGAGAACAGCTGATGGCAGAAATGCATGTGTGAGCCAGGGAAGGAGAAGTAGAGCTGTGATGTAGCCTTACTGTAAGGACAGATAAGTGGGCAACAGCTGGCAGGAGATGAACCTGCTGCCTTAATTTCAGTAGCACAGTGGTGATCTGCAATAGCAGAAAGTGGAGCTTCAATCTGGAAATTTTCTATCTATGATTCAGGGAAAAAAGAGGGTAATGTTATGTAAGCCAAACATTATTATATCAGACATATCCTAATCATTGGGTTTTAATACCTTCCAAAGTAAGATGTTTCTGAAGTGATTATTGAAATATGTATATATGCAAATCATAATACCATTTTCCATTACAACTGACTTCTCTATGTATTGAGAACCTTCCTCCCTAATAACAAAGTGTCAATTTCTGTTTTTTTAGAAATAAGCACATGCCATTCCTCCTCTTTCTTTCCTTTTTACACTCCCACACCCCTCTCCTCACCACAGAGAAGTTTCATGGGAAGAGCAGTCATGGTTTATATGGAGACAATGTAGAGGAGATGGACTGGATGGTGGGTAAGTCATCACAGCAAATAACAGTGGCTCCAACTACCTAATACCTAGGTCTGAATATATAATAAAAATGCAGTTGTTATTAAAAGAACAAGCAAGAGAATTAAAAACAAGAAGGAAACAAGTCTTAAGCTTTTCATTAACATCTGTCAATCTCGTATGAGCACTGATGGCTTATTGTGTTGGCTTTTTATTTTCTCTAGTCTTGGATCAAATGAGTCTCTTTGTTCACTCAGTTTTTTTGGTCTAGTATTCACCAGTGTTAACCATGTCACTTTGGCTCCTGTGAAGGAGCTCTTCTGCTCTTCTTACTAAATAAGTCATAATTATTTAGTTTGCTGTGATTATTAAAGATCAGGTAATTTCAGCCTCTTACAGTCATGCCTTATCTATCTCTAAGTAGGACACATAAGAAGGTGACAAAACTGATCAGCAAATTAATTCCAGGTGTAAACCAGCAGGCTATTTCTCCGTAACTGCTACATTCAGCAGAGTACTGAATATTTCCTTCCAACCCCTACCATTCCGTGATTCTGTGATTTTTCAGCCCCATTCATAAATCCAGAAATTTTCATAAATGTCAATTGTTATGCCCCCAGAAACAACTAGATTCATGTTATTTTTCAGCCTGTTTTTGGAGGGGAAAGAGAATTATTTTTCACTCAGTCATGGTAGAGGAAGGGCAGCCACATTTGCAAAAGGGATAAGAAGCAGGTACACATACAGAAAGAACTGATTTTCAAATCTTCCTGTCAAACACTTACACACCACAAATATAATTAAGAACACTGGAAACAGCTCAGGAATAACCTTTAATTTAAAAAGAATTATATTATTAATGCATCTTATATTCAACCAGTAATTTAATGCAAATACTAACTGTGGTCTAGACGATGTAAGATAAGAGTACATGAATTTTTTTCCTCAGTGACAGCCAACACTGATGCATAATCTAACACTTTAGGGCCTTGGATCATGCTTTCTTTCCATATTTTTACAGCACACAGCACATATGCCCTTTACAATATGGGCTTCTGGTCTGTGACTGTGGTTCTTGCACTCCTTTTTTATAATACTGATAATAAAGGGGTTACAGCACATGACAATTTTTCTGTGCTTTTACAGAGAGTGAAACCACAACTACAAATCTTGATCCTAAAACATTTTTCTTTTAAACAATGAGCAGCCCTACATAGATAAGAAATTACATCGATGAATGTTTACAAGTCAGAGCCTAAAATTTATGTAGTGTAGCTGATATTTTTGCTTTTTAATATACACATATTCCTGTGTTTACAGGCCAGGTTCTAGATGCTATTGACAAGGAAGGCTTGGAAAATAATACACTAGTTTACTTTGCCTCTGATCATGGTGGATGGCTGGAAAGACAAGAAGGCAAAAGGCAGCTGGGTGGCTGGAATGGAATATACAGAGGTAAGAGCTATCAGGGCTGGTGACAACCCAGCAACAACTAGCAAAATACTCAGAACACCCCTAAAGCTTAGATAAGACTGCATGCCCAAAGAGAAACAGTGTTTTATCATTGAAAAGCAAATTTGTCTCATTCTAATTAGGCATTTAAAAATTCTAGCCTGTGCAGGTGTTCTCTACAAGCATGAATTCTCAAACTGTCATTTCCTCCTGAGGCAACTGATCACAAGTTAATTTTTTATTAAGATTCTGTAACTTGTTGATAAATATTTGTTGCATCATATAGCCGAACCCTTGCCTTAACTAAACCAGACCTGTCACAGGATTGTAAAAGAGAGAGGAGAACTAGGCCGGGAAATCACTTCATGACTGAAAATTTTATCCTCACTGAGTTCTGATGGGGCAATGTGTTTGTAAACCAATAGAAGGGAGTAAGTGTGCAAGGTCACCTGAGGGGTCTGATATAGTGAACACACTTCCACTGATGTTGAGAAGGAGCTTAGCAGTAAAAACAAAAGGGTAAGGAGGATCATAAGTTAATATTAGTTTATAATAATACAATAACATTTGTCTAAAATTTATCTTTATTTTAAACTTTTTTTATTAAAATTTATTCATGTTTTTATGAAAGGTGGAAAAGCTATGGGAGGCTGGGAAGGAGGAATCCGTGTCCCAGGGATATTTAGATGGCCAGGAGTGTTACCTGCAGGCACAGTTATCAATGAACCTACAAGCCTGATGGACATTTATCCTACAGTAGTTCATCTGGCTGGAGGGGTACTACCCCAGGACAGGTACAGACACAAGTCTCTTTATTCCTCCTTTCCCAAAACAATGGAAAATCTAGTCTGGAAACACATTGTAAGAGCTTGACATTTTATTTTTCACTCCATCTCCTTTTCTAGACACATAAATGTTACCACATCTCAGTCACCTCTTCTCTACATTTGAAATTCAACATCCACCTGCAATCTTCTACAAGCATCTTCCTCATTCCTCACCTATCCTCATTCCTCACTTATCCTCATGATATAGCAGCCATCACAGAATTGTGGTGGGATTCTTTGTATGACTGGAGTGCTGCAATGGATGGCTACAAACTTTTCAGAAGGGATAAGCAAGGAAGAAGAGGAGGAGGGGTAGCCCTTTACATTAAGGAGTGTTTTGCTTGCCTGGAGGTTAATGATGGTGATGACAGGGTTGAGTGTTTGTGAGTAAGAATCAAGGGAAGGCCAGCAAGGCAGATATCATGGTGGGGGTCTGCTATAGACCACTCAACCAAGATGAGGAGGTAGATGAAATATTCTACAAGCAGCTAGGGGATGTTTCAGGATCATGGGCCCTTGTTCTCATGGGGGACTTCAACTTGCCAGATGTCTGCTGGAAATACAACACAGCAGAAAGGAGAAAATCTCTGAGGTTCCTGGAGTGTGTGGAAGACAACTTCCTGACACAGCTGGTGAGGGAACCGACCAGGAAAGGTGTTCCACTGGACCTGTTTTTCACTAGCAGAGAAGGACTGGTGGGTGAAGTGGTGGTTGGAAGCCTTCTTGGGCACAGTGATCACAAAATGATAGTTTTCTGTTCTTGGAGAATTCAGGAGAGGGGTCAGCAGGACTGCCACCTTCAGGACTTTTGGAGAGCAGACTTTGAGCTGTTCAGGAGTCTGGTTGGCAGAGTCCCTTGGGAGGCAGTACTGAAGGGCAAAAGAGTCCAGGAAGGTTGGACACTCTTTAAGAAGGAAATTTTAAAGGTGCAGGAGCATGCTGTCCCCATGTGCCAAAAGACAAGCCAGTGGGGAAGAAGACCAGCCTGGTTGAACAGGGGATTTGGGTTGAAGCTCAGGAAAAAATTGAGGGTTTATGATCCGTGGAAGAAGGGACAGGTAGCTCACGCAGAAAGAAAGTTAGAGAGGTCAAAGCCCAGCTAGAACTCAGTCTAGCTGCATCAGTAAGTAAAAGACAATTTAAAAAATGCTTTTTAAATACATTAGTAACAGAAGGAAAGCTAAGGAGAATCTTTATCCCTTACTGGATACACAGGGAAACATTGTGACAAAGGGTGAGGAAAAGGCTGAGGTATTTAATGCCTTCTTTGCTTCCCTCTTTAGTGGTGAGACAGGCTGCTCTCTGAATACATGGACCCCTGAGCTGGAGGACAGGATTGAGGAGCAGAATGACGCCTCCATTATCCAAGAGGAAATGGTTAGTCACCTGTGGCACCACTTAGACATCTATAAGACTATGGGGCCAGATGGGATCCACCCCAGGGTACTGAGGGAGCTGGCAGAAGTGCTTACCAAGCCACTCTCCACCATTTATCAGCAGTCCTGGTAAACTGGGGAGATTCTGGCTGACTGGAAGCTGGCTAATGTGACACAAGAAGGGCTGGAAGGATGGATGATCTGAGCAACTACACGTCTGACAGTCTGACCTCAGTGGCAGAGAAGGTGATGGAGCAGATCATCCTGAATGCCATCACGAATCACGTGCAGGACAACCAAGGGATCAGGCCCAGTCAACACGGGTTTATGCAAGGCAGATCTTGCCTGACCAACCTGATCTTCTATGACAAGGTGAAGCTGATATGGTGTACTTAGATTTCAGTAAATCCTTTGACACTTTTTGCCACAGCTTTCTGCTGAAGAAACTGGCCACTCATGGTTTGGATGGATGTACTCTTTGCTGGGTAAAGAACTGGCTGGATGGCTGGGCCCAGAGAGTTGTGGTGAACAGAGTTAAATCCAGTCACTAGTGGTGTTCCCCAAGAATCAGTGTGTGCTTAATATCTTTACCAATGATCTGGATGAGGGGATTGAGTGTGCCCTCACTAGGTTTGCAGATGACACCAAGTTGGGCAGCAGTGTTGATCTGTCCGAGGGAAGGAAGGTTCTATAGAGGGATCTGGACAGGTTTGACCAATGGGCAAAGGCCTACTGTGTATGAGGTTCAACAAGGCCAAGTGCCAGGTCCTGCACCTGGGTCACAACAACCCCATGCAACGCCACAGGCTTGGGGAAAAGTGGCTGGAGAGCTGCCCGGCAGAAAAGGACCTGGGGGTGCTGGTCGACAGCCGGCTGAACACGAGCCAGTAGTGTGCCCAGGTGGCCAAGAAGGCCAATGGTATCCTGGCCTGTATCTGAAATAGTGTGGCCAGCAGGAGTAGGGAAATGATCCTCCCCCTGTACTCGGCATTTGTGAGGCTGCGTCTCTAGTACTGTGTTCAGTTTTGAGCCACAAGAAAGACATTGATGTGCTGGAACGGGTCCAGAAAAGGGCAACGAAGACAGTGAAGGGCCTGGAGAACAGGTCTTACACGGAGTGCCTAAGGGAACTGGGGTTGTTTAGTCTAGAGAAAAGGAGGCTGAGGGGAGACCTTATCGCTCTCTTAAACTACCTGAAAGGAGGTTGTAGAGAGGTGGGTGTTGGTCTCTTCTCCCAAGTAAAAAGCAATAGAGAGGAAGCGGCCTCAGGCTGTGCCAGGGGAGGTTTAAACTGGATATTAGGAAAAACTTATTCACTGAAAGGGTTGTCAAGCACTGGAACAGGCTGCCCAGGGAAGCAGTGGAGTCACCTTCCCTGGTGGTATTTAAAAGACAGGTAGACAAGGTGCTTAGGGACATGGTATAGAGGTGGAATTGGTAGTGTTAGGTTCATGGTTGGACTTGATGATCTTAAAGGTCTTTTCCAACCACTATGATTCTATGATTCAGTGTTGCCAGTTCCAGCACCAAGGAACACAGTCCCATTCAGCTCACCCCAGTCTGATGGTCTCCATTTTTTCTGCTAGGGTAATTGACGGCCGGGATCTGATGCCTTTACTGCGAGGGACAGTTGAGCACTCAGAGCATGAGTTCCTGTTTCATTACTGTGGCATTCACTTACACGCTGTGCGGTGGCACCAGAAGGACAGTGAGTACAGAACTTCCTTCCCAAGAATTAGGTTCTATCTATGGAAGGGCACATTTGTTTAACACATTTTTCCTAGGATTGCAGCTTTTCGGGTAATTCCAGGTGGTAAAGAACTGACTGGCATTTCCTGTGTGGCACAAAGAGTTTGTTAGTGGCTTCAAGGCATGTGGCGTGCCAGGCAGGCTACTGGAGCTCAGGATGGATCTCACCCACCTCTCTGTCTAAATGCAAGGCCTGGGGAGTCCATGTCCCCCTTGTCTCAGGGAGAAGTCTTGCCTCAGCCCTTTGTCTGTCCTTCTTCTACCTTAACAAGGAAGTAAGCTATGGAAACCCCAAATCTCTGTTTTTCATGTTTTTCTTAAAAAACTAACTGAGCAATAACATATACTTGCTGAAAATTTTAAAGAAATTTCAAAATGTCAGAAATCATTTTACAATATTGGTTTAATTCTGTGGCACTTAATTTTAAATGAAATTACAATACTATATCAACTAATAAGTGTAGAGCTGAAGCACAACCAGAAATAAACTTTATAAAAATATTCCCCCTTCTAGTGCCTTACAATAACCACCAGTGTCATCACAAGCCTTCTTTCTTTCCTGCCAGGTGGAGCCGTCTGGAAGGCTCATTATGTGACCCCAGACTTCCATCCACCTGGGGCTGGAGCTTGTTATGATAGAGGATTTTGCCCGTGTTTTGGGGAAGGTGTGACCCATCACGACCCTCCGTTGCTGTTCGATCTCTCGCGAGACCCTTCTGAAGCCGAACCGCTGGCGGCTGACACCGAGCCCCGCTTTGACACTGTAGTAAGGACGATTGCAAGAGCTGTAGAGCACCGCAGGACACTGACTCCAGTCCCAGAACAGCTCTCCTTGTACAATGTGGTGTGGAAGCCGTGGCTGCAGCCGTGCTGTGGGACGTTCCCGTTCTGTTGGTGTGATAAGGAAGGTGATATTAAACTTGCCGACCTATAAAGGAAAGAACCAAAGTTGCTTCCTCAAAAGTGTTTTTAGATCAAGAGTGTTTTCTTTGGGGGTGTTGATTGGTGGGATGTTTGTTTGTTTGTTTGTTTGTGTGGAGGTTTGACCCACAGTGGGACCATGCGGTCCTGCATTCACTCCCCCAACCCAGTGAGATGGGATGGGAGTCACAACAGGATTAGGATGAGGACAGGGAGGGCTCACTCACCAGTTATGGTCATGGGCAAAATAGACTCAACTTGGGGAAGAAAAATCAATTTAATTTGTTGCTGTTCATCTGAGTAGCACAGTGAGACATAACAACCCCATCTTACAACCCCTTCCCCCACCCCTCCCTTCTTCCCAGGCTCAAATCACTTTGCTCCCGATTTCTCTACCTTCTCCCCCCACAGCAGCACAGGTGACAGGCAGTGGGGGTTCAGTCAGCTCACCACTGCCTCTCTGCCCGGCATGAAAGTCCAGAAACAAGATGTTC